CTTTCACGATCTTCTTATTGCACTGCTGTGACTAGGAATGCAGTCTTGTGAGCTAAAGGTTTCACCAATCACTATATTTCATATTCCACTCAGGATAGCTTCAAGGATGTGACCCTTGTTCATATATACCTGTATGGTACATATATACATATATAATTCTTTCCGTCATATTTTCTTTAAAAAATGAGCAAACATATCTGTGCACTACTTACCTATTAAGACCAACTGTTCGGATTCCCAACTGCAACAAAATTTTTCTGGATTCCATTACAAACCCTTTGTTGGTACATTATGGTATGCTGTAGTTGAATACATCAATTAGACATCAAAGTTTCTTGATCTATGTATGTGCACATTGATAATCTTAGTTTATGTTCTCTTAACTAGATCAAGCGGAATATCAATTGCATGAATTCCTTATGGTAATTTTTGGGCATTCACTACTTCAATTTGGGTTGGATGAATTAAACCACATTATCCTCTTTATGTAAATCAGACCTAGCATATCTCAGGCCGTAGAGGAAGAATTATAGCGGTACATTACCAATGTCATGAATTATATATATTTCAAAAGCGTGATAGTTATGATGGCATAGCATACTTATACATAAGGAATTAAACAGTTCATCAAAATTTATAAATACCAAGCCATGGTTTTAATAATCCATAATTAAAAAGTTATTCACACCATGTCCCACTCGAGAGCTTGTAGGAACAAATAGCATATGGGACAAATAAAACCAGTTTACACCAGTGGTGCCCATATCGATTAGCGGTGAAAATGTGCCCTTACAAGCTGAGAAAATTGAGCTTTGCATCCATGCCTTCAATTCAGCTACCAAATAATCATGGCCCTGCAGTATTGCTATCAATTAAGCTTTGGGTTCCCAAAACCATCCATGTTGCTGTTGCCTTCTGAAGTTCTTGGCCATGTACATCAGGTATCTTCATATAGAGATAAGATATCAGGCATGCTGATAGCACAGGAATTAGTTGCTAATAATGGACTAGTCGTTAAAAGTTACCCCAGCGATGCTCTGGATTCTTCAATGGATGTGTAGTCCCAATAAGGCTATACACAAGAGGATGCGATGGATGGTGTTGGTAACATTATCGTACGCATGTGACCAAGACCTGAATCGATTGCTAATATACCTAGCTACCTCTCGCTTCGTCCCTATGACTGATGTCGACTCTCGATAGTATCACAAGAGCGCCCAAAGGAGGACTCTTCCGCGATCTTCTTATTGCACTGCTGACTAGGACGCAGTCTTGTGAGCTAAAGGTTTCACCAATCACTATATTTCATATTCCACTCAGGATAGCTACAAGGATGTGACCCCTGCATATATATACCTGTATGGCACATATATACATATATAATTCTTTCCATCATATTTTCTTTAAAAAATGAGCAAACATATATGTGCACTACTTACCTATTAAGACCAAGTGTTGGGATTCCCATTTGCAAATAAAATTTTGGATTCCATTACAAACCCTATGTTGGTACATTATGGTATGCTGTAGCTGAATACATCAAGCAGACATCAAAGTTTCTTGATCTATGTGTATGCACATTGATAATCTTAGTTTGTGTTCTCTTAACTAGATCAAGCCGGAATATCGTGTATGAATTCCTTACGGTAATTTTGGGCATTCACTACTTCAATTTGGGTTGGATGAATTAACCACATTATCCTCTTTATGGAAATGAGACCTAGCATATCTCAGGCAGTAGAGGAAGAATTATAACGGTACATTGTCGAAGCGAGTGTGTCGTTATGATTTGCCAGTGTTTACTTTAAGGCACTCAACAAATAGGGTTTTTTGCCGAGTGCAATATGTTTGCCGAGTGTTTCCTCGGCAATTTCGACTCACACATGAGTTTGCCAAGTGCCGATATAATGGACTCGTAAACGATCGGCACTCGGCATACCTACTGTTTCGGTGAGTAAGGTAGAACCCTATTCGATATATATATATATATATATATATGGAAAAAATATATATATATGGAAAAATTTCCAACTCCCACAGAGTAGTTACTCCCTCCTCCTAACCATGTACTCCTATCCATGCGTTAGTACTCTTAGCGGGTCACAAACAATTAAACCCAATAAAGCATATCCAGATCTTCCACCGAGTAAATATTTTTAATCATTATTTATCCCTCCTTTGGACTCGCTAGATGAGATAAGGTACGATCAACTTCCATTCAAATTCATTCATATCCCACGATGTACGCTTTGTTCTCATCTAGTTCGTCATCACTGCGCGGCTCGAGTTGGGGCGCGGCGGCGCACGCATGACATCCGCCTCTGGCGCTGCATGGAGCGGAACCGAGGTGAGTGGATGACCGCATGCTGTGTCTTTGCATGTGTCTCTCTCCTCTCGCGGAGCGACGGCGCGTGATCCAGATCGAGGCATGGCGATGGCACTTGCTGTAGCAAGATCCTGGCGGTAGTGGGACACCCATGGCGTTCTCCCGAGAAGAGCTGTGCCACCACTTTCTCTTGATGAGTGCGGCAGAGCACCGCGCACTCCCAACACATGCGCGGTGGGCCTTGGTCCCATGGTTGGAGACGACGATAGTCATTCCATCGATGCCAAGCAGGAACTACTATACGTGCCTTCTCAAGCCGGCAATGGGGAGAAGATTCAAGAACACACGCAGCCATGCACAAATCTGCATGAAGGAGAACCTGCAGAAAGCTGTTAGTTGTTTTTGATTCATGTTTTTTTTTCAGAAAATAGTATCTCTGCATACTTTTTTCATATAAGTGTATCGTTGGATACATTCGTTAGTAAATACTCCATCCGAAGTTGCAAACTTTTACCCACCAGTTCAATAGCAGATGGAGCGTGAGACAGGAGCAATGGCACCTGCAATTCCATGATTTTTTAGATGAGAGTATCATCTGATACTTTTGAGACCAGAAGAGTATATTTGGATACTTTTTCAGATTAGATCCAGTAAGCATGTACATATTCATACTCCATAAAAAATAATTATGTACTCATACTCCTCATAAAAATGTATGTGCTCATACTATCATTACACGTGTGCTCATACTCCTTTGGTAGGTATCGATATACTCCTCCGTCCAAGAAAGAATGCAATTCTAGCACAAGTATCACGTTTTAGTATCTCGAGTTTGACCGATTATAGATAAAGAAATATTAATATTTACTATATCAAATAAATATCATTAGATTAATTACGAAATATATTTTTTATAATAAATTGATTTGGAGCCATAAATCTGAATACTATTTACCAGAAACTTGGTCAAATGTGAACTACTTTTAAAAAACGCCTATATATATATATATATATATATATTCCACTCAAGATAGCTATGGCACCCTGGACATACCTGTATGGCACCGTACATACATAGTATATTTCAGTGGTGGAAGAAGGACTATATATTCCATCCAGGTCTCTCACGCTACTATAGTACGCAAATTATTTCTATTGGCACTATACCAAAATACCAAAGAAGCATCAGACATCTGTTAGTAAAAATCAGTTAACACATACATAGTCCCAACCTAAAACTATGGTATATTTATCAAGTCCTGTAGAGCAGAATTTAGCATTTTCATGTTAAATTTAACCCAGAAAAACCGTAGCAAATTTGTGGCGACACATATATGTGCACGTGTGAATATTACTATTAGCAACAGTATCAAAAACATTAAGAAAAAACATACTGATCGTAGCTGTTATACTACTGAATTGAACACATTCAGTAAGAGGTATATACCTAGCGGATACTCAAGGCACCAATGGCTCCACGTGCTCTAGTCCACATAGTACGTTGCTCGAAGTCACGGATCACAGTCGGTGTAGGAAGATGTTTGTAGTGTAGTTCCGCATACATCCACTAGGAAGATGACGTTGAGACGTCGCAGGTTCAAGAACACCGGGAAGAAGACAATGTAGATTGGCACCGAGCAGTCGCATTTGACGCTCCCAAAAACCTGATCGCCCAGCACAATCGAGTAGGTGTCGCAGACGTGTGGGCGGGGTTTTGGAGGCCTGCCATTCCAATGCTCTGTCTGTGCAGGAGACTGGAACAGGAAACTAGAAAGCAGCTTTACGGGCAAAAACGGTTTACGAAGGCGGGCAAAGCGTCCACCTCCGTCAAAAAGCCTGCATTAATGCCCATTAATGGAGCCGGATAGCTTAAGTCCCCCGCCTCTGTTAATTGATTAACGGAGGCGACAACGCTAAGGTGCTTGCCTCCGTTAACCGATTAACCGAGGCGGTCTATTTTAATTTGCTCACTTCCATTAATCATTTTCTAGTTTAAAAAATAGTAAAATTACATGCATGAATCTCATAGTAAAATACATGGGGTCTGTGTTTGAGGAGTAAGCCGCGAGTTGATCAACCGATTTAGTGAATTGGGTCACATACTCAACGATAGAAGTGGTTTGGCGAACACTGAAAGGCTGGCGAATCATAAGCTCCTTTTGATCGCGACGAAAGCAGTCATGCAGCAAGCGGCAAAAGGATGTCAATTAAGGGTAGAGAGCTGCGGTGCGAGGGACCGAAACCGGCGAGCATCGGCGCCGTCAAGGTGCATCTCGGCGATGGAGAGCCACGGCGATGCAGAAACATCATACATGGCGAAATACTTCTCGCTGTGGGATTGAAAGAGGCGCGGTTGTCGCCATCGAAGTGAGGGAAATTGAGCTTGGGCATGCGGCCAGTAGTGGTAGGGTTTGCGGCGGCAGCAGGTGCTGGCGGGCGAGGAGGGTTGGGAATTGGGATGTGGAAGAGCATAAAATGGAGGGGGATCTAGAGGCTTACCATTGGCCGAGACATGAACCAAGGTCGTGACCGACCCATGGTCACTTTCCCATGGAATCGATGCAGAGTCGTGCCCCTTGGGCCCGTCGGCGCTAGATCTGGCAGGTGGGTGCACGGACGCCGGTGAACTCAGGAGACCGGGGCAGTGCGACGTTGTGTCAAACACCACGCGGTCCTAGTGCTTGGAGAGCTTGGAGACCTCAAGTCGAAGGTCGTCGACGACGACTTCTGTCTCCGGGCGCCAGTTCCCCAAGTCAGTGATGGCAGCTCCCAAGGCGGAGACGCAGAGGTCCTGCTCAGACTGGATCGGCTCGAGGTGGAGCGACTCGAGCTCGGACAAGCGGCACTCGACGGTAGGATCCAAGACGGTGTGGCCAGATTCGAGGGCGACGAGGCGCTTCTCGGTGGCGACGTCGAGGGTAGAACGGGCGGACTCAAGATTGACGAATCGGTGGCCAAATTCCTCCTTCGACTTCTGGATTTCTTCGAGCACGAGTTTGAGGCTCAGATCCATGGCTCCCCGAGCACGATGGAGACGAGTGTAGTGGTCGTGAGGATCCGATGCCAAGATTGGGTTTGGATGCTGACACTAATTCAGCCTTGGGGAGGTGTGTAGGTACAGTAATAGCGTTCAGGAGGAATGATTTTGAATTGGTAGCAATGGTTGATATTTCATGTTCTAAATTATAAATATTGAGTTTTTTTTTTCATCTATTTCATGCAGCGATCTAAAACATATTAAGAGTATCTAAACGTGATAGTAAAATAGATGATCAAAAAAAAGAAACAACTTGCACCGGAATGCAGAAAAGCGAGACAAGTTGTCATAACCCTCTTCTGTTTCTTACTTCTTTATACTACTCAGCTGAACTATCCAGGTTTACCATATCTCGAGTTGGGCCTGCGCTGTCTTCTGGGCTGAATTGAGGAAGAAGGAGCTCATTGTAGTTTGAGTAGTGTCCGCTTTACCTTTATAGGGAGTCCTGCTGGGTTACCGGATGTATAATCCTTATGGAAACATATGATACGGTGACTGGCGTACGCACAAACTCTGCAGGCCGGTTCAGGTCGTATACAGGTGCACGTACCTCGTATATGGCTGCGCTCAGGTCGTTAGTTTCTTCTATTTGTGCAGTAACGTCGCGAACATATATACTTACGTGCATGCATGGAACGCGGCTGCTTCAGATACGCACCTGCTAAGAAGTTAGCTTTTCCAAACGCATGCAAGGCTGAACAAGCACGTACATTTTTCATATATTTTAATTACACAGCTAGTGCATACGAATACCAGCATATGCGTGCATACAGAGGATTTTGAATTGACAAAAATCCATCAAACAAAATACCCCACCACCACCACCATGTTGGTTTAGATGGGCGGCAAAGCGAATCTTGGACTCAACTCTGGTGGAGAGAAACGGATCGAATTGATTTGGCGCACGTCAACGTAGTTGCCGCTGTCGACGTATAATCTGTGGACTCGAAGAGTAAGAGTCCCGCTTTGCATCAAACGACGGGCCTGGGGCCAGGCATTTGCGCACGTCGGTGCAGCTGACGGCTATAGCGCAGCAGTGGTCCAGCGAACTTTAATGTCCTGGCAGGGCAGGTTGGGGGACTGGCCAAAGAACTCCGGCTTCCATTAAACTCTACTTTTGTAGCAGCCCATTTAAAAATAAAAAATATCTTAAGCGAGCACTTTTGTGTGTGCTTCTCACACCTCCAACATTTTTTCTCTTGTATTGCAGGCGTGAAGCCTAAAACTGCTTCGACGAAAAACGCTGGAATTAATCTCGGGCAAACATCGGTTTTGAAATAGCCATTAAATAATCTCTCCATGGTGTAAACCCTATGTTCAATAACTGCAATTTTCCTGTTATTTGTTTCTTTCCTTAATTTTCAGCGGATTTATTCATTCTTGATAGACGGCTCCCGCTGGACCTTTCTGTTATTAGCTTCTTTCCTCAAATTTTAAGCGATTATTCGTTGATGTGGGCCAAAATAGCTTCTTTTCCTTGAATTTTTAGCGGATTATTAGTTACGGGCCGGGCTGTACAGGAGAGTATCTAGCCGTTCCCTGTAAAGTCTCACAGCGAGCGTGAAAGCGAGGATACATCACGCAGGATGAACCCAAGGCTTCATGCGCGAAAGCGCCCAAATCGGACATACATCGCAGCCTCGTGGCGACCATGATGGCTTTGAACGTTCCTCGCCAGGGATAGTGCCCAGACCCACAGCAATCGTGCAAACCAAGATCCTCCGCGTAAGGATCATCCCAGGCCCAAGGATGGAGCGTAAGCTTACCGAAGACCGTGGATCAGGAAGATGTAAGCCACAAGGACTAGTCCAGGCCCTGTGTCGATCGTGATGAGCTGAGATGTCTCGCGTAAGAGCGGTCCAGACCCCCGTGATGATGGCAATATCGACGATCAATACAAGATTGAGTTCCGCAGGGACCTCACAACAACAACGATAGACACAGCATCGCAAGATGGTTTAGGTTGTAACGACCTGGATTTAGAGTCTCTCTCAAGCCAGAGCCTCGCCCTAAAGAGGAGACGTCCGCAAGAGTATAGGTGATTGTACGAACCAAAATGCTGCTGAGGCATCAGCTGGGCCAACCCTCTTCCAAGGCATCTTTTAGGGCAAGAGGACACACGAGGAGGCGGGCATCGATTTCATACCTGAAGAGGAGGCCATCGGTTTGGTACGCGAAGGAGTCATCCAAGCAAATAAGTCCTGAGAAAAAGACACGCAAGGATGACAAAAGCTGTTGAGTGCAAGGCATCAACGGATGATCAAAACTTCGCGACCTGAAACAGGACTCTTTAGTCCCGTTTCCAACAACGGGAGCATCTATCCGGACCAAAAGGACTCTCCTTCATTCCGCTTGTACGCCGGGACTAAAAGGGGACTTTTAGTCCCGGACGGAACATTAACACAGAGTAAAGGGGGCCTCAGTGACTCGGGCTGTGGACCGCCATCACTTGGCAGACCTTGTTAACAACTGTGACTAAATCATCCCTTTTTTCCTTTTTGGTTTCTATTTTTGGTTTCTTTTGCATTTAATGATTAGTTTTGATATTAAAATACATTTTCAATAACACGCTATTTGCTAATAGTAATATATATAGGTATACTTGCAGACGTAAGTTTTCGAGTCTAACTTTATACATAAATAACAAAACGAATATACGCTGCGTACATGCATATATATATATGATGATCAAATATATACATTATCATATTTTATATACATATATTATGTGCATATATATATATATATATATATATATATATATATATTACAAATGTTTGATATATAAATTGTTTATGTCCTTAGCAATTCAACTCCCTCCGTGCATCCATGTTTCGAATTCGGGTCATTATAGAACTTTCGCCAATTGGGGTCGGTGATATTTCGGTCAATTAGAAATCTCGCTATAGTCTCTCGCCAATCGCTTTAAGTTGGTCCAAGTTATATGATTCTTTTCCTCAACCATTCAGGCCTTCAATAAAAGTTAAAGGAAAAGTATTAATATATATATATATATGTATGTGTATTGCTCATGTAATTACTTATACAAATGAGAGCAATAAAGAAATTTATATATCTGATCGAAATAATATAAAGGAAAAAGTATTTATATATCCCCGTACTTTAAGTTGCTCTTCAGGAGTTCTCTTTGAGTACGCCTATGATGAACTCAAAACATAGTATTCGCAATGATGGTTATTACCTTGCTCTCCGCTTTAGAACCCACTTTTCGACAAAAAAAATCAATTAGGGGTGAATTAAAATCATCATATGGTGTTAATTGAATATAAATGTGAAATCATAGTACTTATTTTGTGTGCGATTACACCGGTGACACTTTATAATGTTTCATTTTTGTTCCTCAATGAACCTTTTCCAAACCCACTCCCAATAAAATAAAAAAATAATTTAACCTTTAATAATTGTTGAGGAGATCGGCGCCATTATATATATATGTTGTTTATAGAAAATAAATTAATTACCTTGTATAATATCTATCATGTCTTGATACTCCGTTTACGGTTTTCTCAATGAGTCTAAGATTTTCAATCTACTATTGGTCATATCGATGACCATCAATATCCGATGATTGCTATATAAACATATATATATATATGTATGTGAGAGAGAAGGTAACTAGTTAGTAAGGAAATATTGATGTATATATATGATCGGTTATTAATTACTTATAATAACACTCACTTGAAGTTGTGAGGGGAAGAAGTATCTCCTCTTGTCGCGTTAGTTCACTAAGAAATTCATGAGATTTCTCTAGAGTTGAGGCTTATAATCCTTGAGGGGTTATGGTGTTTGTATCGACATACTGGATCAACGTAACCCAACATCATTATCACTTCTCTTTCTAAGTTCTGGGTCATCTCATATCCGTGATACATAAAATTGTGAATATATATATATTGTGAATATATAATAAAGAAATTGTGAATATAGTAGAAAATAATCACACTTACGAGATAATAGCAGTTAATGAGACTTTTTGAGAGAGTCCGAAGTGGCATAGTTGGTGTAATTCCGAAGCTCGACATACCAATTCTTCGAAGTCTTCCCCATGACCAAGAAAAACCAATTCTTGACGGTGGGGGCCACTTTATCGATTCGGTTCGATCCCCTTGTCAATAATGAATAAGCTTCCATTTTTACCACTTGAATGGCGATCAGAGCCACCGATCCCATGTCATTGTGGTATACCTTTTTCGAGCATTCTCTTGGTTCTTTCTCACCCATACCTCACCTTTTCGCTAATGTCTTGTACTCTACTTAAATCATTCCAATAGGGTCTGTTTGAGATCCGCCCAGGCAAAGATGTTGAAATTCGCAATTCTTTCTTCTTGATGTATGTGTTGTATAGGTGTTTCTTCCTAAGTCTGGAATTGTGCGGCCATCTTCTTCATAGCCCACAATCGAACTAGCTCCTTCAATTCATCATCGTTGATATCATCATAATCATCCGCCCAACGTAAATGGGCAAGGATATCATTCCGAGCAAATTCTTGTCAACATCGAGAGACAAAACTAATATCGAGGCTCATTGATCTTTTTCTTCCATTCACGGATCTTGATCGAATTTTGTCCCTTATAAGGTACCCACAGTGTTCTGCCTAATTTCCTTTTATATGGACCAAGTGGTTACTTTGTCTTGATGTTGAATTCGATATTATGTACCGCCCTCCGTTGGTTTCTTGATCCTCGAACATTTTGTTCTTCACAGTTGTAATCGCGTAATCCAGGAGGGCTACATATAAAAATAATAAATAAATATCTTTTGTACACCGAAATATATACAATATTCATACATATAATACATATTTAGTATATATACCTACTTTGTATTTTCTTGCAAAACATTTTCTTGCTCATTTTCAAGAGCTAGGTATTGACTTCCGTCATCAACATCCTGCTCACCTGACATTGGCAATAATATTCATCATTTCTTCCTCCATATTTGTCTCCCGGCA